GGTGACCCACTGCACGTGTGCTGACACGGGCCGACACTTGGCCACGTTTACTCGTCGGCCGGGGTCGAGCTTGTACACACTGACTGCCGAGTCCCCCCCGGTTGCTATTCCTGGTCAGGTAGCTGCGTCGGGTCAGGTGTTTGCTGCAGCGTCTCGGTCTGGTCCTGAGTCTGCCCCCTGCTCGTGTCGCCTCCTGTCCCACGAGACTCTTCTCTGGCACCACCGTCTTGGTCACCCCTCCCTGCCTCGTCTCCGAGGCATGGCCTCTCGTGTCCTGGTCTCTGGTCTCCCCCGGTCCCTCCCTCCCCTCCCTCCGGGGCCTGCCCCTACCTGTGTTTCCTGCGTTGAGGGGCGGCAGCGCGCCGCTCCTCACTCCTCCGAGTTTCCGCCGACAGAGGCTCCGCTGCAGACTCTTCACATGGACGTGTGGGGCCCAGCCCGCGTCCGTGGACAGGGTCACGAGCGCTACTTCCTGCTGGTGGTTGACGACTACTCGCGTTACACCATAGTCTTCCCCTTGCGCCGCAAGGATGAGGTCACTGAGGTGTTGATCGACTGGATCCGCGCTGCTCGTCTCCAGCTCAGGAAGAGTTTCGGCTCGGACTTTCCTGTTCTGCGTCTGCACTCTGACAGAGGCGGAGAGTTCTCCTCCGGCCCTCTACGAGCCTTCTGTCGTGCGAGGGGCATCCGCCAGACGTTCACGCTTCCGGCCTCTCCGCAGCAAAATGGGATTGCTGAGCGCCGCATTGGCATGGTCATGGATGTCGCTCGCACGTCCATGATCCATGCGGCTGCTCCCCATTTGCGGTTCAGTACGCGGCGCATCAGATCAACCTTCAGCCCCGGGTCTCCATGCCGGACACCTCCCCCACTCTGAGGTGGACAGGGCAGGTTGGCGATGCGTCTGCGTTTCGTGTCTGGGGATCTCGGGCTTTTGTCCGAGACTTGTCTACGGACAAGTTGTCCTCCCGTGCTGTTCCCTGCGTCTTCCTTGGCTTCCCCCCTGACGCGCCTGGTTGGCAGTTTTACCACCCCACCTCGCGCCGGGTTCTGGCCTCTCAGGACGTCACTTTTGACGAGTCGGTTCCATACTACCATCTCTTCCCCTACCGCTCTGCCCCCCTACCTCCCCCGCCGCTCTTCCTTGCTCCAGGTCCCCCCCCGGTAGACCCCCTCCCCCCTCAGGGTCCTGCTCCTTCAGGTGTGTCTCAGGTAGACCCCCCCCCCTTGGCTGAGCCTTTGGAGGTCACTTCCGACACCTCTGGCTCACCTGAGGGGGGTGACGTTGCTGCTGACGCCCCGGCGGCCTACCGCCGCGCACCACGCTTGGAGACCCCTCCGGGTTTCCCGCCGCGACCTTCTTCGCCGCCTCTGCCGCCGATTACTGTTGACTCTGGTGCTGTTGGGGGTGGTGCTCCTGGAGGTGCTGCGTCTGGGGGTGCGGAGTCTGGGGGTGCTGAGCCTGCGCGTGAGGAGACTGGAGGTCCTGCGCCTGGGGGTGCTGTGTCTGGGGGTACTGAGCCTGTGTGTACGGAGTCTGGGGGTGCTGAGTCTGGAGGTGCGACGCTTGAGGGTACTGCGACTACTGGTGCGCGGCCTACTTGGAGTGGCCGCCTTCGTCCGCGTGTGCCTCTCACCACTCAGCAGCTGCACGACTGGTACGGTCGCCGTCCGGGTCGAGCTGCTGGAGCCCGGGGCTCTGCTGCTGGAGGTACTGGAGCTACTGGGGCTGGGGGTGCTGCGCCTGGAGGTGCCGTTGCTGGAGACACTGCGGCTGGAGACCCTGGGACTGGAGGTACTGGTTCTGGGGGTGCTGCTGCGGGAGACCCTGCGGTTGGAGACCCTGGGACTGGAGGTGCCGGTTCTGGGGGTGCTGCTGCTGGTGACGCTGGTTCTGGTGGTGCTGCCGCTGGGGGTCCCGGCTCTGCGACTGGAGCTGCTGGAGTTGCTGGAGACCCTGGGGCTACTGGAGGTGCTGGAGGTGCTGGAGCTGCTGGAGCTGCTGGAGGTGCTGGAGCTGCTGGAGCTGCTGGTGCTGGTGCAGCTGCGCCGACACGACTGTTCTTCGCTCCGCCGTCTCCGTCGTCACTGCCGCCGCCTGCCTCTGCTCTTCGTCATGTTGTTACTATCCCGTCGTCTACTGGTCTTCCGCTACAGCCTGGCTCACCGCTGCCTGCTCCCTCTCCTTACACTGAGCAGACAGGTAGTCTTGCTGAGCGTCGTGAGCCTGCGTCGCGTCCAGTCTCGCCTGTTCGTTCTGGTCGTGCTGGTCGTCGTGTTTCTCATTCACGTCAGCCGACTGTCCCCGGCACACACCTTGTTGTCCGTCGTCCTTCCTCTGCTCTGCAGTCTGTTCCTCTGCCGTCTCCCCCTGCGTCCTCTCTGCCTGCCGTTCCGGACCCTGCGTCTGACCGGTTTTGTGCTGAGCACCCTACTGTCACGCGTCTGCTCGCCACTGTCGTCACTGACCCGTCGTTTGAGTCTGCTGTTGCGTCTGCCTTGGTCGCTGAGCTTGTTGACTTTGCTGCTGCTTGTCGTCTAGACTACGCTGCCAGTCTTGTTGCTGAGTCTGAGTCTGTCTGTCCTCCGTCCGTCGGGGGTGAGTGTGCTCTTGGCACGGACGTCCTTGAGGACAGGCACGAGGACCTTGAGTGTCTCGCAGCCGCTGCGCCCCATCTCGTGGCCATGCTGCTTGCCCCTGAGGGAGACCCGGATGCACCAGACATCCCGACCCCGCGCTCTTACGCTGAGGCGATCGCGAGTGAGTACTCCTCTCAGTGGCAGACAGCCATGGACGCAGAGATGGCATCCTGGAAGTCCACAGGCACTTACGTCGATGAGGTTCCCCCTCCTGGGGCGAACATCGTCGATGGCATGTGGATTTTCAAGGTGAAGCGGCCGCCGGGTTCTCCGCCTGTCTTCAAGGCTCGTTACGTTGCTCGAGGCTTCAGTCAGCGAGAGGGAGTTGACTTCTTCCATACCTTCTCCCCCACCCCGAAGATGACCACTCTTCGGGTACTGCTGCACGTTGCCGCTCAGCGTGACTACGAGCTTCACTCTCTTGCCTCCAGCACAGCTTTCTTGCAGGGCAGCCTGCACGAGGAGATCTGGCTGCGCCGCCCACCTGGCTTCACTGGGTCTTTCCCTCCTGGTACCCAGTGGAGCCTCCGGCAGCCAGTCTACGGTCTCCGCCAGGCGCCACGTGAGTGGCACGACATATTGAGGACGACACTTGCGGCTCTTGGGTTTGCTCCGTCGACCGCGGACCCGTCGCTGTTTCTGCGCACCGACACCTTGCTGCCGCCGTTCTACATCCTCGTGTACGTCGACGACTTGGTCTTTGCCACTGCTGACACTGAGGCTCTTGCCCTGGTGAAGTCCGAGCTGCAGAAGAGACACACGTGCACAGACCTGGGTGAGCTGCGCAGCTACCTTGGCTTGCAGATCACCCGGGACAGAGTACGCCGCACCATCACACTGACTCAGTCACACATGGTGCAGCAGGTCCTTCAGCGCTTCGGCTTCACCTGGTCCTCAGCACAGGCCACTCCCCTGGCGACAGGTCACTCGCTCTCAGCTCCACCTTCGGACGAGTCCGTAGAGCCGAGTGGTCCTTACCCAGAGCTAGTTGGCTGCCTCATGTACCTGATGACCTGCACTCGTCCTGACCTCGCGTACCCTCTTGGCCTTCTGGCTCGCTATGTGGCTCCTGGTCGGCACCGACCTGAGCACATGGCTGCTGCTAAGAGGGTACTGCGCTACTTGTGCAGTACATCAGGCATGGGGCTAGTGCTTGGTGGGAAGAGCCCAGTTGTTCTCACTGGGCACTCAGACGCTTCTTGGGTTGACGACCAGGCTACTCAGCGGTCGTCACAGGGTTACACCTTCAGCCTTGGCTCTGGTTCAGTTTCTTGGCGTTCTACTCGCTCGTCTTCAGTTCTCAGCTCCAGTTGTGAGGCTGAGATCTACGCCACAGCCATGGCTGCACAGGAGTTGCGCTGGCTCACCTACCTGCTGACCGATCGATCTGGGAGAGCGGCCTGGTTCTCCTCCAGTACTGTACGTTGACAACAAGGCTGCAATTGCCTTGTTTGAGGAGCACAGACTGGAGCATAGAACGAAGCACATTGCTCTGCGTTACTTCCTGGCTCGAGAGTTGCAGCAGCGAGGCCAGCTTCGTCTCCGTCACGTGGACACTCGGGCCAACACTGCTGATATATTCACCAAGGCACTTCCGTCTGGTGATCATCAGCGCTTTTGTACTTTGTTGGGCCTTGTGCCGACGTTTCCACACTTGCTGTAGCCTTTGTTTGTACTGTGACCTGTATATATACCTGCATGTTGGCTCTTGCTAGCTAGAGATCACTGTACGGTTCTTGTTGCTTATATATCTCTGCATGTGAACTGGCCCTGTGGCCCTTTGCTTGTGCTCTGTTTGAGTGGTGACGTTGTGATCCACCCTGAGCTGTGTTTTGTCTCTTGACTGGTCTTGTGACCATTGCTTGCTCTGGCTATCCCCCATTTCACCTATGGGGGTGTGTCAAATATATGCATATTATAGTCTAGGTTGCATTGGGGATAGCTTTAGGGGGTACAAACATTTTCTCGACATCCTCCTTCTTGTACCCCAAACCTTCTCCTAATCACACATTCTTGCCTACAGTGAGGTTTGTCTTAGGGGGTACGTATGTTAGGGTTTGCTACTTGTACCCCAACCACCATCAATGAAACAACACTTGTGATTTTGACAGATTCCAGTGGGGGGTGACTTTATCGTCGAGGACTCGGTTTTGCGCCCCCGTTGGACAAACGGGGGACAAGAGTGAGGACAGAATATTGCTTTTGTTTCCTTTCTTTTCTGCTTAAAAGAACATGTGCTATATAATAAGACCCGGGTATTATGTAGCTTTTTCCTATGAGAAGACACCCCCCTTTTTTTCCCTGTATATTTAATTCTACCCTAGGGTGTTGTTATGTCCGGGAGAATACGGTATTCATGGTCACACCACCAGACTAGTACCAGGCTGAAGATCACTAGTCACTGTCACTCGAGGAAGGGCAACCTTCAACCACACCTGCAGATCCTCCTGATTCGTTCGGGTGTATGACAGCAAAGGCAGGCTCTTCAGCCATTTCACCCCGGCTTCGGTGACTGCAGATGCAGTCATGTCCAAATGCTGCAAGGCTGTCAAGTGCCTCACATGCTCCATGCCGGAATCTGTAATCCCAGTTGGCAGTGCAAGCAGCTTCAGATTGGTGAGCGATGTCAAATGCTGCAAACCGTCACCACCTGTATTAACATTCTCCAGAAACAGACTCTCAAGGCCTGTTACCCTTCCTACATGAGCCATGCCAGCAGCTGTAACACCCTGGCAGCAATTAAGCTCTAGGGTCTTGAGTGGGAGCCCTGTCAACAGCTGAAGACCAGCATCCGTCACTTTGCTGTTGGTGAGAGAAATATTCTGAAGTTTGCTCGCAGCCGCAATGCCTTCCAAGTGATCATCAGAAACTGCCACCGTTCGAAGAGATAACCGCTGCAGCTGTGGCAGCTTGTAGAGGTGCTTCATGCCCTCTGCACTGAAGCCAGACGACTTGTCGAGATCAATCGAAGTAAGGCAAGGCATGGCCGATGCATGGCTGAGGGCCGTGTCTGAGATGCTCGAAAGATTCTTCAACTCCAGAATTGTCCGAAAAGGCGAATTTCTACTCCATGCCAACAGAATGGCCTGAAAACGATACAACCAGTAAGTTTGAGATTCACACACGTCACAATTGCAGGGACCAAGTGCTGCTGTAGTTTTGCACAAAACATTGTCACCATGAGAAGGGTAGTAGCACAAAAAGCAGTTGTAACTCACCTCCCATGTTTGTTTGCTTTCCTCCCCACAGTGCTCAAGGGACTTTTCAAGCTTCAAAACGCACTCCCTGTACTTGGCCGCCTCCATCTTGGATCCTGCTAGTTCACTCTTCACTGCTGCCAGTTCCCTTTTGACTTCTTCCAGTGTGTTTTTGCATTCCTGCGCGCAATGCGAGAGAGACTCTTCAAGCTTCAATGCGTGCTGCCTGCCTTCAGCCATCTCCCTCTCTGTTCCTGCTAGCTGACACTTCACTTCTGCCAATTCCCTTCTCAACGCTGCCACTGTCGCCACCAACTTGGGAGTAGACGGGAGCAGGAAGAAGCGACAGGGAGGAGGAAGAAGGGACAGGATGAGGTGCAGAGGACTGTGGCATGGCATGCAACTCAATTGAGAGAATGAAGGGGTGAGGGGGAGACGAAATGGGTGTGAACGGGTTGTTGGGAGTGCTGGGCTTGAAGGCAGCCTACCATGAGTGACGTGGCTGACATCCTCAGCTTTGCCAACCAAGGTTTCACGGCCAAGCCCTGTTGATGCAACCACGCTCTGGCTTGTGTGAGAGAAACACCCATGCACCAGAGCAGCAGTGCCAGAGAGGCTGTAACCAGATAGAGCATGTGAGCCTGGGAATGGGACATGGTGGAAAAAAAACAGGCACAATTCGCATATGGCAGATGCATTAAGAGAAATGCAGCACTGATTCAGACAGCAAGCAGTGGCAAGAGACGGCTGAGATGGCATGTTGTGTGGCCCTCCGGAGCAAACTGTAAAAAGAGACACGCATGGAGCAGGCAGGTGCATCGATGATGTGAGCAGCACATCACATTCTTAATCCATATTTCGATTTCCATACCATGCTATATTTGTCGAAGGAGGAAGGGCCATTCCTTATGGAAACAGTTATGAACATTGTCACAGCAGCAGTCAGTGTAAGTGACAGCAGCCACGTTGCCGCCATCACCAATTCAACCACCCGAGCCATGTTGCTTTGAAGGGAACTTCAAACTTAAAGCATGCAGGAATAGCGGGGGAAAGACTGGGAGCGGGCAAAGCTGGATGTTCGTTCAGTTCACTGCACGTATATGATGGGGCAAACTAGAACAAAGAAACGAAGAATGCATCATGACATGCGTGTATGCATTTTGCTGGTGCATGGATCTGGATGTGGTGTACAGGAGAACAACACACAAGTTACTAGAACGGCGAGAGACGCACTCGAGATGGACGTGTAATGGGGAGATGCACTGGAGAGTCGTAGTAATGCTCATGGTGAGTGGATGACACGGATGGTCGTTGCAACACAAGTGGGACTCACTTGGCATGGAGGTGCCAGGTGATTCAGATCGGGGCAGCGAGCTGCCTGTTGAGGCTAAGGCGCTTCACTACTGGACGAAGTAGTAGACAGCGATGTCGTTGGGATTGACGTAGAATAGGCTTCAATTGGAGAAAGTGGGCGAAGCTTTATCATAGCTCCCTTCCTTGCTAAACCCTATCCGAATCGATCATCAGCCTCACCCTTCGCCTCGCCTCTCTTCAGCTGCTCCTTACCAGTGACGATCAATCATCCCCGCCGTTCATTGCGTTTTCATGCATCTCCGATTCTAGCCGCTTGGAACACGCATGCACTTGGGGTCGTTAAGACTCCCATAGGGATCCCATCGGCTTTCGTCTCTCGCCTTGCGCCAGCCCTACGCGCACCCATCATGCGCCTCCTGCCTGCCGTGCGCTGCTCCGCGGACTTGAGTTTCGAGATTGCGGACCTTCCTATTGGTGCGATGAGTTCCCGTGACTGTCTAACCTATGGGAGAGGCCCGATTGCATGATGGTTCTCACATCGGCACGTCGACATCGAAGTTAGTTCTGGGGAGTGAAATCTATGGTAGGTGGTCCTCGTTTCGTCAGATCCTCGCGGTGTCATCCATTGTAAGCCACCTCGAAGTCAGCGCGCGTGTCGCTTTTGACTTCAGTCCTCGGGTCGCTACACAAGTGAACCACTTCCCACGTTAGCTTAGGGAAGCTTGATTGCGTGATACTTGGTCACAGCGACATCTGGCTACACGGAGATTCGGTGATACTTGGTGATTAGTTTTTGGTAGTGGATAATCCAGGGCTCGTTCGGTGGTCCTCGTTTCGTCAGCACGCATGTGCTCCAAGGTGTAACCACCTCGAATTCTCTGCGCGGGTCGTTTTTAAGGTCAGTCCCAGGTTCGCTGGACAAGTGAACAACTTCGCAGCCGTTACCTTTAAGGCCCCGAGCGAATCAAAAACATTTGTGCAACAACTTTCGCGAGGCTGGATACCAGAAGTAAACCTGCAATGATTGTGGAACAATCAAAACACCCGAGACCATTCACAGCCAAATGATCCCTTCAGCCCAATTTTCCCAATTGATCGATTCACGCCTCATTCTCGTTCGTTGGGGCTGCTCTGAGTCAAGCAACAGACAGCGCAAATACCGCCATTTGGCTAAGGGACCTTGCTTCACTTCCTCCCTTTCATTCGGCGCATCACATCCAATACATTTGCCTCTGAAAATTCCAGTTTCGGACTTTCCCCCAGGAGTTTGGCGCATGTTCACTCGCGGCACGTCGTAAGACGCCATTATGGAAGAACAGCTTATATCGAAGGCCGTTCGCGAAGGCGTACCATGGGACCAGCTACCGAAACGAGCGAAGCTCTTTCTTGGCTCGAACGAAGAATACATTAGACGGTATGTGCTCTAGCATTGGCCTTGGCAAAGCTCTGACCAACACTGCGCTTTCCTTACAGAGGTGAAAGGCGCTAGCTTTTTATCTCTCTTTCGTGAACTCCGTCTCAGCCACGCTGTCAAGATTGTGTGATCACACGAATCCGCAAGTCTCTGAATCTCGTCATTCGTTCTCAGCCCTACCATCGTCTCGCTTAAGTTAAAGCTCGCGTCTCGAATTTCCAACCGTTTAACACTTGGTTGGGTTTCGGGTCTGTGATGGGTTGGCGAAATTGTGGACGACCTGGGGAAAAAAGTGGCGAGAACCCTAACCAACCAACGCCAAAACACAACCTCTGGGTCAGGGTTGGGTCAAGGCCCTACCTATTTGGACAGGTTGGTTGGGGATTTGTGCGACGAACCCTGACGACCAAATCACACCTTGCTAGTGAGAGAACTACAATGAGACGCGAGCTTTAAACTGCTGACAATACCATAGCTCCCACCTCGTCATTCGCCTCAACGGGACCCTCCCTCCCCTCTTCCATGCTCCACATCCTCCCCTCCCCTCCCGTCGATCCAGCATCAAGGAGCATTGCTTTCAGCTGCGGCTGCGCTGGCCCGACAGTCCCGCACGCCTGGTGTGTCGCGAGGTGGACTACTACAACGAGCTCATCGCCCACGGCAGGAAGACCCAAGCCGTGCGTCCCGTGTTGTTGTAGGTTGATTGTGGGAATTCTAAACACCAACGCGCGCCTGGTGTGTCGCGAGGTGGACTACTACAACGAGCTCTCCTCCCATGCTCGCAAAGACCCAAGCCGTTCGTCCCGCCTTGCCGTCTATTCTTTGAATGCCTTGATGATGACGCTGGCCGGCCAGTCAAAGGATACTTGAATCTTGGATTCAAGGCCAGGAATGTGTGGACTTGGGGAAGTCTGCACTGAGAATCTATGGTGGCGTGGGTTGTTTACATTTGTATCCATGTCCCTGTCCGTGTGGATGCCTGTGCCCGTGTGTGTGTGTGGATGGATGGTGCATGGCAGCCGTTCCCGTACCACCTGGCGGACTACATTTGCCGTGTGCTGCGCATCTCCCCCTTCCGCTACTACAGTGACCTGCTGCTCGATGTCATGAAGCAAGGTGAGCTGCTCGATGTCATGAAGCAAGGTGAGCTGCTCGATGTCATGAAGCAAGGTGAGCTGCTCGATGTCATGAAGCAAGGTGAGCTGCTCGATGTCATGAAGCAAGGTGAGCTGCTCGATGTCATGAAGCAAGGTGAGCTGCTCGATGTCATGAAGCAAGGTGAGCTGCTCGATGTCATGAAGCAAGGTGAGCTGCTCGATGTCATGAAGCAAGGTGAGCTGCTCGATGTCATGAAGCAAGGTGAGGTGCCTGTGGCCAAGAAAGGTAAGGTGACTGCAGCGAAGCAAGCTGGGGTGATTGTAGCGAAGCAAGCTGAGGTGATTGTAGAAAAGCAAGGTGGGGTGATTGTAGCGAAGCAAGATAAAGTGATCGTAATGAAGCGAGGTAAGGCTGGGCATGTATACCTCGTGAATGTGTCGCACGAGCAATCCAAGTGGATGCAGCAGGGGGAGCAGAGAGTATTGAGACGTCCCACATGGTGAGCTTACTGCAGCGTTTGTCGCATTCTGTCATTTGAGGCGCCGCAAATGCCTTCATGCTGTATGGGATAACAGCAGGCCACCTCACTAACCTTCTCATCCTCCTTTTCCTCCCCATGTGTACTGTGCTGTGGTGCGTGCAGAGAAGTCGTATGACACGATTCCCAACTTCACAGCGGCGGACGCGCTGAGGGAGACGGGCATTGGGCGCAACCAGTTCATCGACATCATGAACCGCGCCCGCGCCAAGGTGCGCGCTCTCATGCACTCACACCCTTGCTCTTGCCATCTTGCACTCATGCACCCATGCACTCACGCCCTTGCTCTTGCCATCCTGCACCCATGTACTCATCTGCACCCATGCACTCATCTGCACCCATGCACTCATCTGCACCCATGTACTCATCTGCACCCATGCACTCATCTGCACCACCCATGCACTCATCTGCACCACCCATGCACTCATTATGCCTTCATGCTGCATCTTCACTTCCCTGATGTCATTGCATCGCCCTCCCTGCCTAGCTGGCACGAGAGCATGAAGCTGATGACATGGATCCTTAAATTCGAGCAACTGAAACACGCTCCTGCATGGACTGACTGACACTATGGCATATTATCACAATTGTTTTCTCATTCCCTCTCTATACCCCTCTCCCACTCTCGTTCTGTCTGCCCCTGTCCGGCCGCCCCACGTGTGAGCGAGCAACAGCTGATGTGGAGGGTGAACCGGGGCATAGTGAAGGACATGCTGCCGCTGGACCCCGTGCCCTTCCCCATCCAGCCCTGGTGGCTCGTCTGCCTCGTCAACCTTACCGCTGACGAGTACAGGGTGAGCCTAAGTGGGTACAGGGTGGGTGAGCCTAAAGCGGGTACAGGGTGAGCCTAAAGCGGGTACATTGTGAGACAGGGAGGAGGCGCAAAAGACTTTTGAGTTTCAGACAACACCAATTGCTGATGTTCCCTTTGTCACATTCTCATTCATCCCTCCCTGGCTACTACTCTCCACCCGCTGATTCCTCACCCTCACGCTCCTCACATCCCCCGGAGTGGGTGGCACCAGAGGCTGACGGAGGAGGAGCTGAGTGTGATAGAGCGGGGGGGGCACGAGGGCGACTGCATGGCGGGCGAGTTCGACGACGACCTTGTGCGCGCGCTGTACTGCAAGGGGCTCGTGTACCTCGACGTGCCCGTCTACCCCAACGACCGATTCCGCGGTACCAACGACCTGGTTGGTTGTCGGTGGGAACATGTAATGCTGGGAAAACGTAGTGCCTATGCCTTTTCTGCCTGCTTTGGTGCGTGCTTCAGTTGATTCATGCCTGCACCGCCCCCCCTGCCTCATAGACGCTGATGCCGATAAATCTCTACCCCTCCATCCTCTGCGCCCTCCTTCCTCTGCGCCCTCCTTCCTCTGCGCCCTCCTTCCTCTGCGCCCTCCTTCCTCTGCGCCCTCCGGCCTTGCGGTCCTTCTCCCCCCCCCACGGAGTGCAGTGTCGTCGCTGGAGGGCTTCGTGTCCAACAGAAACCAGCAAGGCGAGGATGCCTCTGAAAAGTACGTCCCTGCCTCTCCTGCCTCTCCTGCCTCTTCCCCTCTCCCTGCACTCGTGCTTGCACCTTTCAGAGGCTACCACAAGCCGTATGCTATGCACAGTGACTGGAATATTCTAGTCACTTTTGAGACCTCCTCTCCTTCCTCCATCCCCCTCCCTCTCCCTCCTCAATCTCCACGACTAAGCCATTCTCTCAATCTCCAAGACTAAGCCATTCTCTCTTTGTCACCCCCTGCCCTGCTCTCTCGCCCACACAGGCTGCTCTACTCCCTGTTCGTCACAGCCAGTGAGCAGGCCACAGTGCACGAGATGGCGCTCACACTGCAAGCTGACGTGCGGCAGCTGGGCGCAGCCATCTCGCTGGCGTGCCGCCTGGGGTGGGCTGAGAAGGTGCTCGACCTGCACTCCCTGCTCGACCACATCGACATGGGCGCGGATGCAGACACAGGCGACGGGGCCCCGGGCAGCGAGGGGTTCGGTGTGGGAGACGGGGGGGTGGGCGCGGGGACGGGGGGAGGGGAGGGGGGGTTGGAGGGGGCTGGAGGAGGACAGGTGGTGGGGTGGAAGAAGGTGGAGTCGGTGGCGTGGGGGGATGGCGGCGGTGCGGAGCGGTTGAGGATAGCGCTGATGGTGGACGCCAACCTCACGTCCTTCCTCATGATGGGCTCCTTCTCCTACGGTCAGTCATGATGGGCTCCTTCTCCTACGGTCAGTCATGATGGGCTCCTTCTCCTACGGTCAGTCATGATGGGCTCCTTCTCCTACGGTCAGTCATGATGGGCTCCTTCTCCTACGGTCAGTCATGATGGGCTCCTTCTCCTACGGTCAGTCATGATGGGCTCCTTCTCCTACGGTCAGTCATGATGGGCTCCTTCTCCTACGGTCAGTCATGATGGGCTCCTTCTCCTACGGTCAGTCATGATGGGCTCCTTCTCCTACGGTCAGTCATGATGGGCTCCTTCTCCTACGGTCAGTCATGATGGGCTCCTTCTCCTACGGTCAGTCATGATGGGCTCCTTCTCCTACGGTCAGTCATGATGGGCTCCTTCTCCTACGGTCAGTCATGATGGGCTCCTTCTCCTACGGTCAGTCATGATGGGCTCCTTCTCCTACGGTCAGTCATGATGGGCTCCTTCTCCTACGATCAGTCATGATGGGCTCCTCCTACGGTCAGTCATGATGGGCTCCTTCTCCTACGGTCAGTCATGATGGGCTCCTTCTCCTACGGTCAGTCATGATGGGCTCCTTCTCCTACGGTCAGTCATGATGGGCTCCTTCTCCTACGGTCAGTCATGATGGGCTCCTTCTCCTACGGTCAGTCATGATGGGCTCCTTCTCCTACGGTCAGTCATGATGGGCTCCTTCTCCTACGGTCAGTCATGATGGGCTCCTTCTCCTACGGTCAGTCATGATGGGCTCCTTCTCCTACGGTCAGTCATGATGGGCTCCTTCTCCTACGGTCAGTCATGATGGGCTCCTTCTCCTACGGTCAGTCATGATGGGCTCCTTCTCCTACGGTCAGTCATGATGGGCTCCTTCTCCTACGGTCAGTCATGATGGGCTCCTTCTCCTACGGTCAGTCATGATGGGCTCCTTCTCCTACGGTCAGTCATGATGGGCTCCTTCTCCTACGGTCAGTCATGATGGGCTCCTTCTCCTACGGTCAGTCATGATGGGCTCCTTCTCCTACAGTCAGTCATGATGGGCTCCTTCTCCTACGGTCAGTCATGATGGGCTCCTTCTCCTACGGTCAGTCATGATGGGCTCCTTCTCCTACGGTCAGTCATGATGGGCTCCTTCTCCTACGGTCAGTCATGATGGGCTCCTTCTCCTACGATCAGTCATGATGGGCTCCTCCTACGGTCAGTCATGATGGGCTCCTTCTCCTACGGTCAGTCATGATGGGCTCCTTCTCCTACGGTCAGTCATGATGGGCTCCTTCTCCTACGGTCAGTCATGATGGGCTCCTTCTCCTACGGTCAGTCATGATGGGCTCCTTCTCCTACGGTCAGTCATGATGGGCTCCTTCTCCTACGGTCAGTCATGATGGGCTCCTTCTCCTACGGTCAGTCATGATGGGCTCCTTCTCCTACGGCAGTCATGATGGGCTCCTTCTCCTACGGTCAGTCATGATGGGCTCCTTCTCCTACGGTCAGTCATGATGGGCTCCTCCTCCTACGGTCAGTCATGATGGGCTCCTTCTCCTACGGTCAGTCATGATGGGCTCCTTCTCCTACGGTCAGTCATGATGGGCTCCTTCTCCTACGGTCAGTCATGATGGGCTCCTTCTCCTACGGTCAGTCATGATGGGCTCCTTCTCCTACGGCAGTCATGATGGGCTCCTTCTCCTACGGTCAGTCATGATGGGCTCCTTCTCCTACGGTCAGTCATGATGGGCTCCTTCTCCTACGGTCAGTCATGATGGGCTCCTTCTCCTACGGTCAGTCATGATGGGCTCCTTCTCCTACGGTCAGTCATGATGGGCTCCTTCTCCTACGGTCAGTCATGATGGGCTCCTTCTCCTACGGTCAGTCATGATGGGCTCCTTCTCCTACGGTCAGTCATGATGGGCTCCTTCTCCTACGGTCAGTCATGATGGGCTCCTTCTCCTACGGTCAGTCATGATGGGCTCCTTCTCCTACGGTCAGTCATGATGGGCTCCTTCTCCTACGGTCAGTCATGATGGGCTCCTTCTCCTACGATCAGTCATGATGGGCTCCTTCTCCTACGGTCAGTCATGATGGGCTCCTTCTCCTACGGTCAGTCATGATGGGCTCCTTCTCCTACGGTCAGTCATGATGGGCTCCTTCTCCTACGGTCAGTCATGATGGGCTCCTTCTCCTACGGTCAGTCATGATGGGCTCCTTCTCCTACAGTCAGTCATGATGGGCTCCTTCTCCTACGGTCAGTCATGATGGGCTCCTTCTCCTACGGTCAGTCATGATGGGCTCCTTCTCCTACGGTCAGTCATGATGGGCTCCTTCTCCTACGGTCAGTCATGATGGGCTCCTTCTCCTACGGTCAGTCATGATGGGCTCCTTCTCCTACGGTCAGTCATGATGGGCTCCTTCTCCTACGGTCAGTCATGATGGGCTCCTCCTACGGTCAGTCATGATGGGCTCCTTCTCCTACGGTCAGTCATGATGGGCTCCTTCTCCTACGGTCAGTCATGATGGGCTCCTTCTCCTACGGTCAGTCATGATGGGCTCCTTCTCCTACGGTCAGTCATGATGGGCTCCTTCTCCTACGGTCAGTCATGATGGGCTCCTTCTCCTACGGTCAGTCATGATGGGCTCCTTCTCCTACGGCAGTCATGATGGGCTCCTTCTCCTACGGTCAGTCATGATGGGCTCCTTCTCCTACGGTCAGTCATGATGGGCTCCTTCTCCTACGGTCAGTCATGATGGGCTCCTTCTCCTACGGTCAGTCATGATGGGCTCCTTCTCCTACGGTCAGTCATGATGGGCTCCTTCTCCTACGGTCAGTCATGATGGGCTCCTTCTCCTACGGTCAGTCATGATGGGCTCCTTCTCCTACGGTCAGTCATGATGGGCTCCTTCTCCTACGGTCAGTCATGATGGGCTCCTTCTCCTACGGTCAGTCATGATGGGCTCCTCCTACGGTCAGTCATGATGGGCTCCTTCTCCTACGGTCAGTCATGATGGGCTCCTTCTCCTACGGTCAGTCATGATGGGCTCCTTCTCCTGCGGTCAGTCATGATGGGCTCCTTCTCCTACGGTCAGTCATGATGGGCTCCTTCTCCTACGGTCAGTCATGATGGGCTCCTTCTCCTACGGTCAGTCATGATGGGCTCCTTCTCCTACGGTCAGTCATGATGGGCTCCTTCTCCTACGGCAGTCATGATGGGCTCCTTCTCCTACGGTCAGTCATGATGGGCTCCTTCTCCTACGGTCAGTCATGATGGGCTCCTCCTCCTACGGTCAGTCATGATGGGCTCCTTCTCCTACGGTCAGTCATGATGGGCTCCTTCTCCTACGGTCAGTCATGATGGGCTCCTTCTCCTACGGTCAGTCATGATGGGCTCCTTCTCCTACGGTCAGTCATGATGGGCTCCTTCTCCTACGGCAGTCATGATGGGCTCCTTCTCCTACGGTCAGTCATGATGGGCTCCTTCTCCTACGGTCAGTCATGATGGGCTCCTTCTCCTACGGTCAGTCATGATGGGCTCCTTCTCCTACGGTCAGTCATGATGGGCTCCTTCTCCTACGGTCACTCATGATGGGCTCCTTCTCCTACGGTCAGTCATGATGGGCTCCTTCTCCTACGGTCAGTCATGATGGGCTCCTTCTCCTACGGTCAGTCATGATGGGCTCCTTCTCCTACGGTCAGTCATGATGGGCTCCTTCTCCTACGGTCAGTCATGATGGGCTCCTTCTCCTACGGTCAGTCATGATGGGCTCCTTCTCCTACGGTCAGTCATGATGGGCTCCTTCTCCTACGATCAGTCATGATGGGCTCCTTCTCCTACGGTCAGTCATGATGGGCTCCTTCTCCTACGGTCAGTCATGATGGGCTCCTTCTCCTACGGTCAGTCATGATGGGCTCCTTCTCCTACGGTCAGTCATGATGGGCTCCTTCTCCTACGGTCAGTCATGATGGGCTCCTTCTCCTACAGTCAGTCATGATGGGCTCCTTCTCCTACGGTCAGTCATGATGGGCTCCTTCTCCTACGGTCAGTCATGATGGGCTCCTTCTCCTACGGTCAGTCATGATGGGCTCCTTTTCCTACGGTCAGTCATGATGGGCTCCTTCTCCTACGGCAGTCATGATGGGCTCCTTCTCCTACGGTCAGTCATGATGGGCTCCTTCTCCTACGGTCAGTCATGATGGGCTCCTTCTCCTACGGTCAGTCATGATGGGCTCCTACTCCTACGGTCAGTCATGATGGGCTCCTTCTCCTACGGTCAGTCATGATGGGCTCCTTCTCCTACGGTAGGCATGGGCAATTGACCCGACCCGGCCCGACCCGTCCCGTCTAGAGCGACCCGTTACCAAAACGGGTCGGGACGGGTCGGGTCGGCGGGTCGGGTTTGACTCTGTTTTGATGACCCGACCCGCCCCGTATGCACGGGTATTTGTGACCCGTACCCGGGTCGGTTACACCACGGGTCGGGTCGGGTCGGGTCAAAACTTGCTACAGGGCAGCAGGGTATGGGTGTTAAGTTTGAATTGCTTCATTGTAAATTCATGTTACAAATATAACGCTGCAGTTGGTGGCGCCAATGCGTGCCCGCCCCCGACCTGCACTAAAGCGGCGACGCGATCGCGCGTATGCGGGGCCGCGATTGCGCTGCGCAAATGCGGGGCCGCGATCGCGCTATTGCGTGGTCGCGATCCCGCCAATGCGTGACGGCGAGCGCGCTGCTGCGCTCCTGGTCGTGCGACGCTGCGAAATGGCGGGAGCGCCTATGCCTAACCTGACTCAGAAGTCTAAAATAGTGTTAACACTAAGAGGCTTGGTAGGCTAGAGACTGGATCTGAATGTCGAGGGGGAAACAAAACATAAGAAACCAACTGACGTTCTCCCCCTCTACAAATTGTACCCTAATCAAATCACGGGTCGGGTAACCCTATCATTTGACTAGGTACGCGACCCGGACGGGACGGGTCGACCCGACCCGGCGGGTCGCTAATACCCGTCTAAAAATCACGTAGACGGGTCACGGGTCGACCCGACCCGTCCGGGTATACCCGACCCGACCCGGACGGGTCGACATGCTCGGCATGACTGACCCGACCCGCCCAAAAGGGCGGGTCGGGTCGGGTAACCCGACCCGTCCGGGCCAAATGCCCATGCCTATCCTACGGTCAGTCATGATGGGCTCCTTCTCCTACGGTCAGTCATGATGGGCTCCTTCTCCTACGGTCAGTCATGATGGGCTCCTTCTCCTACGGTCAGTCATGATGGGCTCCTTCTCCTACGGCAGTCATGATGGGCTCCTTCTCCTACGGTCAGTCATGATGGGCTCCTTCTCCTACGGTCAGTCATGATGGGCTCCTTCTCCTACGGTCAGTCATGATGGGCTCCTTCTCCTACGGTCAGTCATGATGGGCTCCTTCTCCTACGGTCAGTCATGATGGGCTCCTTCTCCTACGGTCAGTCATGATGGGCTCCTTCTCCTACGATCAGTCATGATGGGCTCCTTCTCCTACGGTCAGTCATGATGGGCTCCTTCTCCTACGGTCAGTCATGATGGGCTCCTTCTCCTACGGTCAGTCATGATGGGCTCCTTCTCCTACGGTCAGTCATGATGGGCTCCTTCTCCTACGGTCAGTCATGATGGGCTCCTTCTCCTACAGTCAGTCATGATGGGCTCCTTCTCCTACGGTCAGTCATGATGGGCTCCTTCTCCTACGGTCAGTCATGATGGGCTCCTTCTCCTACGGTCAGTCATGATGGGCTCCTTCTCCTACGGTCAGTCATGATGGGCTCCTTCTCCTACGGTCAGTCATGATGGGCTCCTTCTCCTACGGCAGTCATGATGGGCTCCTTCTCCTACGGTCAGTCATGATGGGCTCCTTCTCCTACGGTCAGTCATGATGGGCTCCTCCTCCTACGGTCAGTCATGATGGGCTCCTTCTCCTACGGTCAGTCATGATGGGCTCCTTCTCCTACGGCAGTCATGATGGGCTCCTCCTCCTACGGTCAGTCATGATGGGCTCCTTCTCCTACGGTCAGTCATGATGGGCTCCTTCTCCTACGGTCAGTCATGATGGGCTCCTTCTCCTACGGTCAGTCATGATGGGCTCCTTCTCCTACGGTCAGTCATGATGGGCTCCTTCTCCTACGGCAGTCATGATGGGCTCCTTCTCCTACGGTCAGTCATGATGGGCTCCTTCTCCTACGGTCAGTCATGATGGGCTCCTCCTCCTACGGTCAGTCATGATGGGCTCCTTCTCCTACTGTCAGTCATGATGGGCTCCTTCTCCTACGGTCAGTCATGATGGGCTCCTTCTCCTACGGTCAGTCATGATGGGCTCCTTCTCCTACGGTCAGTCATGATGGGCTCCTTCTCCTACGGTCAGTCATGATGGGCTCCTTCTCCTACGGTCAGTCATGATGGGCTCCTTCTCCTACGGTCAGTCATGATGGGCTCCTTCTCCTACGGTCAGTCATGATGGGCTCCTTCTCCTACGGTCAGTCACGCCAACCGCACGCACGGCCTCTCTTCCTCGCTCTTTCTTCCTCTCTTTACCTCACTACCTTCCATCTTGCCCCCCCTCTCCCTTCCCTGCCCCTGTCCCCCCGGCTTCAGAGTTGAAGCAGCATGCAGTGACGCTATTCGAGGCAGGCAAGCTATCAGAAAGGAGTGTGGCGGAGCTGTGCGGTGAGCTGCGGGCGGTGGAGAAGACGCAGCTGGAGGGCGAGCTGCAGAAGTTCACGGACCACGCCTTCAGCCTGCGCTACGCCCTCTCCTGCCTCCGCACCGGCACCATCGATATCACCTCCGCCCTCCACACCCCCCCCCTGCTTCTGCCACCGCCTCCACCGCAGCAGCTATCGCACCGCCCCAACCCCCCCCTCGCTCTTCGCCCTCCAGTCAGCCCAGTGCTGCTAGTGACCCCCCAGGCGCTTTGCACTCTGCACAGGGGGCAGCTGCGGGAGCGACCGCAGATGCACCTGCCCCAGATGACACCTGGTCCACGCGCAGTGTAGCTGACTCCGCCTCCACTGTCGACCCCTCAGACCTCCCCCTCCCCATCCCCTCCCACCTCGTCGCCTCTTCCTCTTCCCAGTCCCTCCCTGACTCTGTCACTGCATCACAAGCCACCTCCTCGGATGCGAAATCTACTGATGCACCTGATGCTGCTGCTGGCACCACAGCGGCAGGCTTGGGCCCATCGAGGCTGCAGGAGAAGCCGCTGCCCCCGCGTGCTGCATCGTACCCCGCACTGCCAGCAGCAGGGGCACGTGATGACGACGGCTCCTCCTCCCCTGCCGCCCCTCCGCCTCCCGCTCCTGCCACACCTGCTTCCACCGTACCACCATTACCACCATCATCGTCATCATCAGCAGCAGCAGGGGCAGCAGCAGCAGGGGCAGCAGCAGCAGCAGCAGCAGGGGCAGCGCGGGCGACGTTCAATCGGGTGGAGTTGCTGCGAACGGAGAGCCTGCAGGGGCTGGCGCCAGCGACGCTGCACCGCCTGCTGCGCCGCGACTTTGACCTCGTCGTCTCCATCGTGCCCCTCCCCAAGCCCCTCAACGCCGTCGTCCCTGACGGCTCCGGCCCGGCGCACTTCGGCCCGCCCGCGCCCGCCTTCCTCTCGCCCTGGGCCAAGCTGTTTCTTTACGCGAAAACTGCCTCGGGTCCGGTGTCTGTGGTGCTCATGCGCGGGCTCAGGCTCAGGCTGCTGCCGCCACCGCTGGTCACGTGTGACAAGGCGTTGGTGTGGACTTGGGATGGCATGGCGGTGGGGGGGGTTGGGGCGAAGAGTGAAGGGTCGCTGGTGCCTGGGACTGTGCTGCTGCACGTGGTGAACAGCTTGCTTCGGCACTCTGCTGTCATGGTTCAGCCTCTGGCCGCCCCCCCTGCCCCTGCTCCTGGTTTCTCCCGCACTGGCTCCAACTCAGCAGCGAGAGCAGCAGGAGGGGGAGGGGGAGTGGAGGGAGGGTTGTGGGGTGGGGATGGGGCAGTGGAGGGGGTGGGAGAGGGCGTGGGGTGTCTTACAGAGGAAGGGGAGCCGGATATTGCGACGGTTGCTCTCCCTCTGCCCCCTCGCTCTCGGCCTGACACGATTGAGGCACGAGCAGCAGAGAAGAGGGGAGCAGTTGATGAGGCTGTGCAACAGCAGCAGAAGCAGCAGGGCGGGGGGAGATCATTAGGAAGGACGAGGCAGGGGAGTACTGAAACTGAAACTGCTGGGGAAGCGGCAGGTGGTGGGGTAGGAGGAGCCGAAGAGGGAGGCAGGAGCGAGGAAGGTGAGGGGTGTGGGGTGAGTGAAAGCACTGGTGGCGGTAATGGGTCAGTGGCAGTGGAGGGGGGAGCAGGGCAGCAACGGGCGGAGGAGGAGTCGGCAGTGGTGGCAGCAGCCAGGCGAGCAGCCGAGGTGCTGGCTGTGGACGCTGTGGGGTTCGTGCGGGTCATGCGCACCGAGGCGGGGGAGGATGAGGACGACGAGGAGGAGGATGGTGAGGGCGGGGGAGTTGCCGGCCCTGGCAGTGCCAGTGGGGAAGGGAGGTTGAGAATAGATGTCAGTGACGGAGATGGGCAAGCAGCAGGCACCGGGGGACTCGCACAGAAGAAGCAGCGGCGGCGACGGCAGGGCGAGTGGGTGGCACACAGCGTGGAGTTCGGCATTCCTCTGTTCGACACGCAGCTGTGCTGCCAGGTGTGCGACGCCGTGGTCTCTCACAGCATGCTCACCCCTCCTCAGCTCGCCTCGCAGCGCCGCTCCACTCTCTCTCTGCGCGCCTCCCTGCGGGAGTTCATCTGTGACTATCGCCAGCACGGCCCTGTCTCCCGGGCCGTCTACAACGGCAATGTGGCCCTCCTGCGCTCTACCTCCCGCCGTTGGTCCGCTTCTTTTGCCACCTCCGCTGCTGCTGCCTCTCCGTTCTCCGTGCTCCTGCCGAGACGGACCGTGAGGCATGTGCCCCCGTCGCCGTCGGGGAGGGCAGCAGGGGAGAGGAGTGTGGGGCGGGGAGGAGGGAGGAGGGGGGAGATTGGGGGGGTGATAGCAGCAGCAGTGGCAGCAGTGGATGCGGAGAAGGGAGGGGGGAGGAGAGTGGGGGACAGGAGGGGGAGGATGGGGCAGAAGCACCGGCTGAGCCGAAACTTTTCAGAGTTTTGGTACCTGCCGGAAAACCAAGCGCCCAGGTATGGGTGGTTCTTTAGATTTCAAAAGACTACTTCTGCCCGCAAGGAAGTGAAATCAACATCGATTGAAAGTATCTCTTCTCACCCCACTCTCCATCTCACTCACACCTTTTCTTCTCTCTCTTTCTCTCTCTCTCTCTCTCTCTCTCTCTCTCTCTCTCTCTCTCTCTCTCTCTCTCTCTCTCTCTCTCTCTCTCTCTCTCTCTCTCTCTCTCTCTCTCAATTTATTTCCTTCCCCTTGTTGCGTTACTCCCACCCCCACGCCCCTCCCTCCACTGTCCAGCTTTGCTGCCACACAAGACGATCCTCAGGACCCCTATGCGCAATCAAATCGTGATCCAAGCTTCACATCAGAGGAGGAAGAGGACGATCTCTCCCGTCCGGCGTACCCCGGAGTGAACATGATATTTGACGGCCACCTGCTGTTGCCCATCGATCTCTCAACCTATCTGCACGGGCGCCAAGCATCGGTTCTTGTGGCCCGTGCAACCTCCATGTCCCAGCAGTCCATCATGTGGTGATGCTGATGGCAATCCTGATGCTCATGGGATGATGGGGCGATGATGGTCATTACCATGGGAGTGATTGCAATGGAAGTCATTGCAATGGGGGACATTTTCTGTAGGGAACAGGGCATCAACTGTGTGCTGCCAGCGCAGCAGGCCTTAACAATACTTGTTGCAGTTTGTTAGTTCCAAACTAGGTGCTACAGTGAGTTACTCTCTACAGGGTACAACCCCTTATTTGTAGAACCCTTGCTTTCTAGTGTCACCATTCATTCTCCACTTGTTTGACTTGGTATAGCTAGAAGATTTCCATGGGCCCACCGTCCCGCGCCCCGCCATAGTCTCACCCGTCGCCCGCCCTCTTCCCCCCCCCCCCCCCCCCCCACCCCCCCCCCCCCCCCCCCCCCCCCCCCCCCCCCCCCCCCACCCTCCCCCCCCCTGTGCCGTCACCCCGTTAGCAGGCCCCCGCTGGAAGGCCCCGCGGCCTGCGTTAGAGGGCCCCGCGGCCCCGCCCGTACGCACCCCGCCACCCGCACGCTAACACCCGCCCCGCTCCCCGCTTGCAGCCCGTCGCTCAACGCACACCCCGTCGCCCCGATCGCAGGCCCCGCGGCCGTTGTTAGCGGGTCCCGCGGCCCCTTGTTAGCAGGCACCCGCGCCCGCGCACGCAGCCCCCAGCCCTCCGTCGCCCCTTAACGCCCCGCACCCAGTCCCTTAGCCGCACCCGCGCGCACGCACGCACGCGCACACAGCCACGCGCACGCACGCACGCGCGCACGGCCACTTGCAGCCCCGCGCGCGCACCGCCGCATGCACGCATGCGCACGCAGCCGCACGCGCACCTCCCCGCTGGCCGCAACCCGAACCCCGCCCGCTACCCACCCGCTACCCGCAATTGAAAACGCCCGAGACCCTTCACAGCCAATATCTCCCGGTCAGCCATGGTTTTTCTCAATTGGTCCATTCACGCCTCGTTCTCGTCCGTTGAAACCGCTCTCATTCCGCCATATTCATTCCGCCATGACCTCGGTACACGACGACGCAATGCACGGCGCGTTCGCCGCAGGCGTGAGGTTGACGGATATTCTGAGAGCAACGAACGATATTTGCGAAGCACGGAGTGAAGGCGAGTGACTTGGAATTGGATTGCATGGGATCGGCGAGATTGACACATCGTACGTGCGAGTTCGTGCGCGTAATCACGGCAGCATCATGCTTTGGGGAACACGTGGATGCGCGAAATCAGTCTGTTAGGGTTAGCTAGGCATGGCATGTTTCGATTGAACCAGGTGCTGCTATCGGCGAGCGTTGGTTCCATCGCGTTCGCAGCGCATGGCGTCAATACAGCTGCACATTTGAATCGGTATGCCGCAATCTCGTCAATGCATTGTCTTCTCCGTCCTCTCTTGTTTATCCTCCTATCTGTTCCGTCTTCGTACGTTCATTCTTCTGGTTTTGAGTTCTTCTTTCACCTCTGTCCCTTTCGCCTCCCCGTACCTACTCTGCTCCGTTTCCCTGGATTCCCTGTCGGATTCATTATTTCTTTTCCTCGCCTCTCCCTTTTGTTTTCACCAATCGTCACAAACTTTCGAGGTTGAGCAGCTATCGTCACGCCATAACCCCTCCCCATCCCCTTTGCCCAACGCCTATCTGTATCCCTACCCCTAACCCCACCATCTCCACATTCCCTCCTTCTATTTCCCACTGCCTTCCACTTCCGTGGCCTTCCCCCTTCCCCACATACTTTCTGTTCTGTTCACCATCTCCGTGTCCTTCCCTTACCCCCCCCCCCCCCCCTCTCCCCATCCCCATTTCTCTTCTCATTTCCAACCCGTTTTTACCTCTGGTTGTTTTCTTTTCGTGAAAGGCATGGCGTCAGCAGCCAAGGGGCCACCTGCTGGTCTGATTCGATTCAGTTGCCTTGAATGGGCGTAATTGATACTTGCAGGAATGTCCAAGTGCTACTTCATGGCAGCAGCGTTGGGTTTTTATTCGAGGATGCGTAGCTGCGTGTGGAAAATGGCCAGCTCGTGATGTGGTGCTGCTGACCAGTGGCTCGGATTGGGGGAATGCAGTAGCGAGCCCACGTGCGCATTTGTGGCGGCACCATTAGGAGTCGCACGCAGTCACTTTGCTGCTTACGACTCGCTACACACTTCCTTTGGTTGCTGTACTGATTCTGTTGCAATCTGCATTGTCAGGTAATGCCAACGTTGTCTGTTTTGACTGGGCAGATGTAACGGCAATCAAAGTAGAGCCGTGCGTGAAGCTTTACTACAGTGTTTGGTTCCACTACTTGCCTGCTGTGTTGTTCGAAGCTGCATGCAAGCTCGTCAACGCCTTTTCGTTTTGGCAGTTTCGTCTTCGTATCATCTTGTCTTTCCCTTCTCTCTCCCCGTATCACCCATTTTCCCTCTCCTGGTTTTGTGCTCTTCATTCTCCTTGTGCCTCCCGTTCTTCCCCCCCCTCTCTTCTTCTGCCGGCCAGGAAAGGCGGAGGAACTTGTCGCTGCACTGCATTCAACGTCCCCCATTCCCAACCGCTCCGCCCTTCGCCCCATCTCACCCCCCCCTCCCCTTCTCCCCAGCCACCACCTGAAGCTTAACGATGGAACAAAGGGAGCTCACTGCTGCGGGTGTGGGAGGCAAGGGAAGGATATGGCGCGGAAGCAGCAGGGTGGCCAAGGAATCGTCTGTGCCACCGGATGGCGGTGGGGTGACGTGCACCCAGCTTCGCCCCTCAGAGCGATGGCAGTGTAGTGGTTCTTGTCGCAGCAGCCACGGTGCCTTGATGAACTGCAGCAGGTTTGTCCAAGTGAACACGAAGAGAGACGCACAGCATGGCATGAGGGACATACTAAGAGTGTGGGTAGCCCCGAGCCGAGAGTGTGTGATGTCCCTAGAGAGTGGGAAATCTTGAGATTGTAGGACCGTGGCAGTGACAAAAGGTCCTGCTTGAAGTTCCACCTCTTCCCCGTTTCAAATTTCCTTCTCATTCCTCGTCTTTGTTCCTTCCCAATGTCGCTCTCAATCCCTTTTCGTTCTCCTGTTTCGTTTTCCCCTTCCCACTCCTTTCGTCAATTGCTCCCTTACATTCTCTCTCGCGCGTTCCCCTCGTGCACGAACCACAAGCGTGCCGCTTTCCATGCTCAACTCATCTCTCCCTCCTGCCCCTTACCCCCACTCTTTTCCCCCCATTCCCCGGACAACTACACCCCAACCCATTTCCTCTTCTCCCGCCTTTTTCTCTTCCTACACCCATCACACCCTACAATCTCCTTAGCAGATCTATCCCTCTTCTTCCTGCTCCTCATCCCTTGCCTCCAACCCACCCCGCCCCCCTCCCCCCAACTAACAGCACAGGCACATGCCACGTGCTGCTGTTGTTCTTTAGCAACAACGGGCACGACCCAGTCACTCTGCTCACAGTGCTATCAGGGGACAGGGGTGGCGTGTGGAACCATTGCCTCAAAACATCAAGTCCGTGTGCGTCCATTAGAGCAGTTACTGAAGCAGGTCCTTGTCTGGTACTATGGATCATTCTCAAAATTGACTCCCGAAGCAGGTCCTTGTCCTGTACCCCTCCTCCCCCACCCCCATGTAGTTGTCCATGCCACCTTGCATCATGCCACTATCGCTTCACGGCACGGCATGGCATCATGTTGCCACATTTCTGCAATCACCGCCACATCTCAAACTGTTGCCACCGCATGGCAAGTCGGTTTCAGCCACCTCTTACGGTACCCATACATTTGGCTGAGCCAGAAGCCAAATTTTCAGGAAATCCCTCACCATCCTCCTCTCCTATCACAGCACTCCTTGCAGCACAGAATCATATTGTAGCAGTTTCACAGCAGATTCGCCGTGTCAATACTGTAAGGTGCTATTTCAAGATCTGGGGAAGCAGTTCTGAACGTACTTGTGAAGAGAAGTTTCTTACGGTATGCCTGGAAGTTAAGCACATTATGAAACCCGGTTTGAATCTTCCTATTTCCTTTCCCAACAAGGTGCTTGTTGATATTGATGTGTACATACGTACATATGCTGACAGATTTATAAGCTTTCAGCATGAATATTGGGCAATAGGATAGGTTGGTACTGTGTTTGCTACTACGGTACATGGAAAATTATTCATAAGCAACGAATGAGGCCCACCTGCCCATATGTCATGGTTTCAGGTACATTCAATCCAATCCACCTGTCCTGAGTAATGAACCTGTCACACCCTTCCCGACTTCAACCTTTCCTACTTCAACACCATAACTTTGCTCAATCCTCACTCTTTTCTCCTACATGCCTAACCGCTTGCGCACATCATCGTTGCAAAGCTTTTCCCCATTCGGCAGCCAGAGAGCTGACAGCTTGGTCAAGGCAGTCAATGGCTTCAGCCCAGCATCAGTGACTGCAGTGCCCTCTAGAGAAAGGGTCTCAAGGTTAGTGAGCTTCCCAACATGCTCCATGCCAGCATTTGTCACACCCTTGCAGTCGAGAATCAACAATTTGAGAGAGACGACGTCTACCAACTGCAGCAGTCCAGCATCAGTCACTTTCGTATTGGTGATATCGAGATTCGTAAGACTGCTCGCTGACCCTATGCCTTCTAAGGCATTGTCGGGGATTCCAATGTGAAGCAGATTTAGCTTTTCCAGCTTTGGCAGCTTGTAGAGTTGCTTCACGCCCTCTGTAGTGAAGCCAGAACTCTTGTCCAATTCAACAACTTTCAGGTGAGTCATTGTGGACACATAGCCGAGGATGGCATCTGTCACGTTGGTGAGATTCTTCAAATCCACAGTTGTCCCCTTTAATGCTGAGTTGATTCTCTGATGAATTGGGGACACATGCTGAAAAAAAAGACGCAATGAAAGGTGACACGAGCGAAATGGAAATGAATGCTTTGTGAAACACTGCAGACAGCTCTCACCTGCAATATAGTCGTCCAATTGTCCAGCTCCCCCTTCACTGCTGCCAGCTTCTTCTCCCATTCCTGAACCGTCCCTCTGATCTCCTTCATCTCCACTGCTCGTTTCTGCTCAGAATCCTTCATATTTTCCCTGACAGCCTCCACTCTCTCGCCCAAGGTATGTTCACCAATTGACATCCGTTCCACCAACTCCCCCTTCACCATTGCTAACTCCCTCTCCTTCTCCTCAATCTTTCTCCTCAGCTCTCCCATCCCTTCCTCTCCCTTCATCTCAGCCTCCCTCCTCAAGTCTACCAGATCCGATGCCCCTTTCCTTTGAACCTCCTCCAAATCTCTCCTTGTCGCTTCCAGCTGTGTGCTAAGTGCCTTCATCCTTACGTCCATTGCCTCTAACATCTCTCTCCCTGCTCTGAGCCCCACAGCAACCGCAACAGCCTCACTTACTCCTCGAAACGCACACCTGCCAAAATCACAAAATCACATCGCATGTCAGTTCAGGTGAGCAGACAGTAAATTACCCGATTCACACGAGAGCACATGAAGTCACACGTCATGAGAAAGGCAAAAGAAGCATCCTCACATGGTTCTGTTGAGCAGATGAACGAGCGCAAGTTGCTGTGGCAGGGAATTTTTGAGAACATGAGGGGGGCATGGGAGAAGGGAATGAAAGGAGAGAAGTTGGCCTGGTGAGAACCGTGAAGGATAGAGCTGTTGATAGTGCTCTACACGCAAGCGATTGAAGAATGGAGAGGTTGGGGAAAGCGTGCAAGACAGCAATCAAAGGTCACAGCTTAAAGCAGGATTGCTCATGCAACACTTCCGCATAGCATGAGTCATGATGGCATACCACCCAGCAGCTGACCACGCTTCCTAGCTTCTCCAGGCGAGTCCATGCAGTCACAGCTTGGTGGCGGATCCAAGCTGTGAGTTGCAGAAACGAGATGCCCATGAACCAGAGGAGAGCAACCAACGTAGTACCCATGGGGTACATGATGCCCGCCTGGCAGGGCAAGGACGAGGGAAAAGAGGAGAATTACAAAGTTTTAGTATGAATTCCCTTTCTACCAAGAAGTACCTTACTTTTTTTGCATGCGCACGTTTTCTTAATCTTCAACAACTTTTATTTGAAGGCCGAATATAAGAAGCAGCAAAGCAATGAGGGCACCCTGCTTACTAATGCACGAACCAGGGAGCGGAGGAGGGCGAGGACCATGGCTCGAGTGGGGACACGGTGGATGGTGGGGAAGGCTGCAAGCGGTTGAAGGGAAGGCAGAGAGGTGCCGTTCTGAGGGGAAGCAGCATTGAACTGTTGGGGCAACCATGGAGTTGGGCGATAAGAGGAGATCAGAAGGCAGAGTGGTGTACACAACGAATGCATAAGAAGTTAAAGCAATGTTGCTTCAACTTGTGAGCAAACAAACAACGAAGCAAACAAAGGTCTTAGAAACATAACATCCGATGCGTTCTATTCAAAACAAGATGAACAATAGCAAGACCGGTTGAACAAGACTTTCGTTCTCATATGACATGCAGACGCATTTGACTGAGACCAGAACAAAAGAATGCACAGATAAACATATCCTCCCATGTCGGTTCATACTTTCGCCTACAACGTGCATCAAAGCGATTCGGTTCTTATCACATGTTCACGAAGCTGACCTGAGAAGAGGGGGGGTAGTTCACTTGCACGCCTTGAGTGCCAAGACGAGGCTGCAAGCAGCAACATAGAGCGCACAGGTGCATGTGTGAGGCCATTGGCAAGACATGGAGACTAGCAAGCGAACAGTTCTACCATAGCCATGGAGATCTGCCCCTGAAGCCTACTCACCTCGTGTGCTTCGTTGACAGAGCAATCTGTTGTAACAGGCGTGAGGACGAATGCAAGCAGCAGCCCTGTCGCAACCACAGCCACACCAACCAGTCGCTCCATTGGCACTCGCTGTGCGTCGGGTGGGTGCGATGGGGATAAGGAAAGGAACCAGAATGAGTGTGGCAAAGAGGCAAGAGAGTTGAGAGAAACAGAAATAGCCAGTGAGACGATGGGGGGGGAAGGAGAGAGGGGCGCAGCCACAAGGCTGCTTGCTAGCACAAGGGAGCAGAGAGCGTGAAGTGAGTGCGAGCACTGCGTTCGCCTAGCCCTAGGTTTCTGGACGCAGCCATGTCAACTGATCTTCACCTCTTTGCGTTGCTCCGAGGGTGGCGGCGTCATGCGGTCACGAGGGAGCGGCGAGTGAGCTCAGCGTGGCGGCAGGGAGAGTGAAAGTGCCCTGCACGGCTGAGAGGCGGCGGGCACTGGGCAGGAGTAGCGGTGGAGCACCGACGCGGGTTGAAACAGCTGGGCAGACGGCAGGCAGAGTGGCGAGGGGTGGGATGTCAAAAGAGCTCGACTCAACTACATCATAACGGCGATATTCCGCGACTGGCGCCGGCGGTTCCCTGCAGTGCAAGCTCGAGCGCTTGGGTCATCGTGCCGCAAGTTGCGATCGCCGCTGCTTCGTTTCTCGAGGGCGCCGCGTCATATGGGACTATCGACGCCATGACAGCATGGTTGACGTGCCAGCCGTTTTAATTGCCCGTCGGGCGGCGAGGAGAGACAGCGATTGGGCGGACTGCCTTGAACGCGGCGTGCGGCGCGCATTTAGTGAAGGTGCGAGGCACAGACTCACGCATGCCAGGCATGACAGGACGGGTGACATGAGTGACAACGACGACGACAGGAATGGAGCGGGCGATAACAAGAGACACACGGATGATGGTGACAGACAGCGCCGAGGCAGCTCGTTCGTCAGATCCTCGCGGGCTCATCAGCAAGCCACCTCGAATTCAGCGCGCGGGTCGCTTTTGAGATCACTCCTTGAGTTGACAGGTTTCCATGCGTAACCCTAAAATCTGGAACTGTGAACTTTGGTTGAACGCGAGAGATTCCTTGCGAGAATTTCTCGATTTGCTTCCCTGCGACGTATAGCGACATGGAATACGAAGCTGGTTACCAAAAGTTCATTCAAACGCCCGAATCTTCATTATCTCCCAGAGCAATTAGGGTTTCCTTCCGCGTCATCTAGGTTTCCTTGCAACTGATCCCATTTTCGCTTCGTTCTCGTTTGTTGAAACCGCTCTCCACATCGCCCTATCGACTCCTGCTCTGCCATGAGTTTATGACCTCCACACACACGACGACGAAATGCACGACGCGTCCGCCGCGGCAGCCGTGGGTTCGGCGGGTGTTCTGAGAGCAGCGAACGATCATGCAATGCACGGATCGTACGGCGAGTAATGATGGAAGGGATTCGATTGCATGGAATCGACGCGCTAGACACATAGTGCCTGCGAGTTTGTGCGCGAAATCACGGCAATTTCACCCCCCCGGACACATGGATGCGCGAATTGAGCGTGTTAGGGTTCGCAGTCGCAGACGTTGCTGGTGGCGAGACGGTCTAGTCTGAGCCAGGTCGCAATCTGCGGTACTGCGAGTCCTCATTCGGCTCAGCATGGCCTGAGTCGGTTGAAGCAGGTGCTGCTCGGCGAGGATTGGTTCCATCATCGCATTCGCAGCTCATTCGCCTACAATGCGACTGCACGTTCGAATCGGTATGCCGCAAGCTTGTCAATGCTTTCTCCTCTCGGCTCCCTCACTTTATCCTCTCTTGTCATTCCCTTACCCGTGAATTTATCTCCTGGATTTGCGTTTTTCTGCCCTCCTTCTCTTTCGCCTCCCCGTTCCTACTCTCCCATGTTTCCCTCGTTTCTTTGTTGAATTCCAGTTACATTCCCCTTTCTCCTCTCGCCTTATACCACCAATCGTCGCCGAATTTTGAAGCTCAGCAGGAATAGGCACACCCGCTGCACCCCTTTCCCCCTTCCTCCCACCCAAAACCCCACACCCTCCCCTTCCTTCCCCCCTTTGCCCAACTCTTAACTGTATCCCTATCCCAAACTGAGTCACTATCCCACCCCCCCTGCCTTTTCCGTTCCCCATCTCTGGTTTCTTTCCTTTCCCATCCCCACCCATCTCTCCCCTCTCCTCCCTCTCTTTTCTGTTCCGACCCGTTTTCTTGCAATCCAAAAACCTGTCTTCCTGTGCTTTCATTTTCCTGGTGCTTTCTCTCCCCTCTGTCCCTTTCGCCTCCCCATTCCTACTCTACCCCGTTCCCCGTATCTGTCTTATTCCAGTTCCCTTTTCCTTTTTTCTCCACTTTTTTCACCCAGCGTGCGCGAACTTTTGAAGTCAGCAGGTATCACCACGCCTTAACCCCTCGTTATCCTTATTCCCTGCACTCCCTTCACCCAACCCCTATCTGTATCCCTACCCCTAACCCTACCGCTGCCCGTTCCATTGCCTTTCCCTTCCGCGTCTTTCCCCCTGTCCCACATCCTTTCCATTCCCCATCTCCGTTTCCTTCCCTTTCCTCCCCTCCCCCCCTCCCCCGTCCCCTCTCTCTTCTCTGTTCTGAAGGGCATGGCGTGGCGTCGGCAGTCGTGGGACTGGGCTGCTGGCTGCTGGTTTGGCAGCAGCAATGATCATGCGACGCATGGGAGTGGAACAGTGCGTGGATGAAAGGAATTTGGCTGCGCTGGATGGACGCATGCAGCAGGAAATTCTACTGTGAGTTCATGGCAGCAGCGTTGGGGTTGCAGTCGCTGAGACGCTTAGTGTGTTGCGCTTGGAATCTGGTGAGTCCAACGCAGTAGCCAGCCCTGCTGGATTCAATGTGCGAAGATATCAGCGTTGTTGTTAGTCGCGGACACTCTAGACACTCTTTGTTTGCTGTACTAGCGTCATGAATAGCAGGGTCAAAGCATGCTGCCATGTCATGCCGACATGAATAGGACAGATGTAACGGCAGTCAGAATCATAATCACGTGCATACAGTATTCGGTGCTGATGATGGCTGGCTCATCGGTCGCCTTGCTGGCAAGACGCGCTGCTTGCCGATTATTTGAGCTTGGGGCGACCAGAATGCCTTTCAGCCACGCGACCAGAATGTAGTCTCGTCCTCTACTCTGTCCCTCCCTCTCCCCTGTCCCTCCCTCTCCCCTGTCCCTCCCTCTCCCCTGTCCCTCCCTCTCCCTTGTCCCGCCCTTTCCTCTGTCTGCCTGCCAACAGCTCAACGCCTCTTACTCCCAACCACTTCTCGCCCCCTCTCCTCTTCTCGCACCAACCCGCCTGCTTTTTTTTCTCACTTACCTCTTCCTCTGCGCTTTTGCACAAAGCACAAGCGTGTGCTTGCAGCCATGATCAACTTATGTCTCCACCATTCCTTCAGCCACCTGCCAGCACAAGCAGCCACACTCCCCATGTCCCATTCCCACAACCCTCCTTCCCCATGTCTCCCCGGCTGCTGTTGCCAGCATCAGGGTGCATGTGGTTGGAGGGCACCCACATGTGAAGGCGTGTGGACAAGTGGCACTACCTGCTCAGTTCAGTCACTCGTAACAATAAAAAAAAATAAAAAAATGAGAGAGAGAGAGAGAGAGAGAGAGAGAGAGAGAGAGAGAGAGAGAGAGAGAGAGAGAGAGAGAGAGAGAGAGAGAGAGAGAGAGAGAGAGAGAGAGAGAGAGAGAGAGAGAGAGCGACATGGGGGGGTGGAATGGGGTTGGGGTAGAAAAGGTGAATGCGAGCGTGGGGTTTGAGGAAGATCAGTGGGTAAAAGGTATGCACGGGAACTGCACGGATCAATAGTTGTTCAGAAAATGGGTTTCAAAGGGCAGGAAGAGGGTGGAAGGCGGGGGGGGGGGGGGGAGAGAGGGGAGAGGAGAGGAGAGGGGTGGAAGATGTTTCAGGGAGAGGGGGCATGAATGGTGAGGTGGGTTGGATGCCATAAGGGAAAGAGCATGGTGAGAGGAGGTTGAGGAGGGAAGGTTGGGGGGTTGGCACAAGGAGGAAGCATGACGCACCTCACTCACTCCTCATTTCAGACTTCACACACCTATTGCTGCCATCCTTATGCAAGGCCATTTGTTGCCGCATCCACAAGCCGGTAACTGCATTTGGTCATTCTTGGCGGTTGTCGCAAGGTGTGTAGTAATGTGAAGTTGGTTTTGTGTGAGTGAGCTGCAAGTCAGCTCTCCATCTCATTTCATATTGTAGGCTTTCGTTTCAGCTGCTCCATCCCATTCACCTCCTTGCTGGCGCTTCTCCCTCTCACCTTCTCATAATCTTTTTTTTTTCCCTCTTGTTTCGCTCCTTACAGCACGAGGTAGCTGTGGCAGGGT